AGATAGATAGATAGATAGATAGATAGATAGATAGATAGATAGATAGATAGATAGATAGATAGATAGATAGATAGATAGATAGATAGATAGATAGATAGATAGATAGATAGATAGATAGATAGATAGATAGATAGATAGATAGATAGATAGATAGATAGATAGATAGATAGATAGATAGATAGATAGATAGATAGATAGATAGATAGATAGATAGATAGATAGATAGATAGATAGATAGATAGATAGATAGATAGATAGATAGATAGATAGATAGATAGATAGATAGATAGATAGATAGATAGATAGATAGATAGATAGATAGATAGATAGATAGATAGATAGATAGATAGATAGATAGATAGATAGATAGATAGATAGATAGATAGATAGATAGATAGATAGATAGATAGATAGATAGATAGATAGATAGATAGATAGATAGATAGATAGATAGATAGATAGATAGATAGATAGATAGATAGATAGATAGATAGATAGATAGATAGATAGATAGATAGATAGATAGATAGATAGATAGATAGATAGATAGATAGATAGATAGATAGATAGATAGATAGATAGATAGATAGATAGATAGATAGATAGATAGATAGATAGATAGATAGATAGATAGATAGATAGATAGATAGATAGATAGATAGATAGATAGATAGATAGATAGATAGATAGATAGATAGATAGATAGATAGATAGATAGATAGATAGATAGATAGATAGATAGATAGATAGATAGATAGATAGATAGATAGATAGATAGATAGATAGATAGATAGATAGATAGATAGATAGATAGATAGATAGATAGATAGATAGATAGATAGATAGATAGATAGATAGATAGATAGATAGATAGATAGATAGATAGATAGATAGATAGATAGATAGATAGATAGATAGATAGATAGATAGATAGATAGATAGATAGATAGATAGATAGATAGATAGATAGATAGATAGATAGATAGATAGATAGATAGATAGATAGATAGATAGATAGATAGATAGATAGATAGATAGATAGATAGATAGATAGATAGATAGATAGATAGATAGATAGATAGATAGATAGATAGATAGATAGATAGATAGATAGATAGATAGATAGATAGATAGATAGATAGATAGATAGATAGATAGATAGATAGATAGATAGATAGATAGATAGATAGATAGATAGATAGATAGATAGATAGATAGATAGATAGATAGATAGATAGATAGATAGATAGATAGATAGATAGATAGATAGATAGATAGATAGATAGATAGATAGATAGATAGATAGATAGATAGATAGATAGATAGATAGATAGATAGATAGATAGATAGATAGATAGATAGATAGATAGATAGATAGATAGATAGATAGATAGATAGATAGATAGATAGATAGATAGATAGATAGATAGATAGATAGATAGATAGATAGATAGATAGATAGATAGATAGATAGATAGATAGATAGATAGATAGATAGATAGATAGATAGATAGATAGATAGATAGATAGATAGATAGATAGATAGATAGATAGATAGATAGATAGATAGATAGATAGATAGATAGATAGATAGATAGATAGATAGATAGATAGATAGATAGATAGATAGATAGATAGATAGATAGATAGATAGATAGATAGATAGATAGATAGATAGATAGATAGATAGATAGATAGATAGATAGATAGATAGATAGATAGATAGATAGATAGATAGATAGATAGATAGATAGATAGATAGATAGATAGATAGATAGATAGATAGATAGATAGATAGATAGATAGATAGATAGATAGATAGATAGATAGATAGATAGATAGATAGATAGATAGATAGATAGATAGATAGATAGATAGATAGATAGATAGATAGATAGATAGATAGATAGATAGATAGATAGATAGATAGATAGATAGATAGATAGATAGATAGATAGATAGATAGATAGATAGATAGATAGATAGATAGATAGATAGATAGATAGATAGATAGATAGATAGATAGATAGATAGATAGATAGATAGATAGATAGATAGATAGATAGATAGATAGATAGATAGATAGATAGATAGATAGATAGATAGATAGATAGATAGATAGATAGATAGATAGATAGATAGATAGATAGATAGATAGATAGATAGATAGATAGATAGATAGATAGATAGATAGATAGATAGATAGATAGATAGATAGATAGATAGATAGATAGATAGATAGATAGATAGATAGATAGATAGATAGATAGATAGATAGATAGATAGATAGATAGATAGATAGATAGATAGATAGATAGATAGATAGATAGATAGATAGATAGATAGATAGATAGATAGATAGATAGATAGATAGATAGATAGATAGATAGATAGATAGATAGATAGATAGATAGATAGATAGATAGATAGATAGATAGATAGATAGATAGATAGATAGATAGATAGATAGATAGATAGATAGATAGATAGATAGATAGATAGATAGATAGATAGATAGATAGATAGATAGATAGATAGATAGATAGATAGATAGATAGATAGATAGATAGATAGATAGATAGATAGATAGATAGATAGATAGATAGATAGATAGATAGATAGATAGATAGATAGATAGATAGATAGATAGATAGATAGATAGATAGATAGATAGATAGATAGATAGATAGATAGATAGATAGATAGATAGATAGATAGATAGATAGATAGATAGATAGATAGATAGATAGATAGATAGATAGATAGATAGATAGATAGATAGATAGATAGATAGATAGATAGATAGATAGATAGATAGATAGATAGATAGATAGATAGATAGATAGATAGATAGATAGATAGATAGATAGATAGATAGATAGATAGATAGATAGATAGATAGATAGATAGATAGATAGATAGATAGATAGATAGATAGATAGATAGATAGATAGATAGATAGATAGATAGATAGATAGATAGATAGATAGATAGATAGATAGATAGATAGATAGATAGATAGATAGATAGATAGATAGATAGATAGATAGATAGATAGATAGATAGATAGATAGATAGATAGATAGATAGATAGATAGATAGATAGATAGATAGATAGATAGATAGATAGATAGATAGATAGATAGATAGATAGATAGATAGATAGATAGATAGATAGATAGATAGATAGATAGATAGATAGATAGATAGATAGATAGATAGATAGATAGATAGATAGATAGATAGATAGATAGATAGATAGATAGATAGATAGATAGATAGATAGATAGATAGATAGATAGATAGATAGATAGATAGATAGATAGATAGATAGATAGATAGATAGATAGATAGATAGATAGATAGATAGATAGATAGATAGATAGATAGATAGATAGATAGATAGATAGATAGATAGATAGATAGATAGATAGATAGATAGATAGATAGATAGATAGATAGATAGATAGATAGATAGATAGATAGATAGATAGATAGATAGATAGATAGATAGATAGATAGATAGATAGATAGATAGATAGATAGATAGATAGATAGATAGATAGATAGATAGATAGATAGATAGATAGATAGATAGATAGATAGATAGATAGATAGATAGATAGATAGATAGATAGATAGATAGATAGATAGATAGATAGATAGATAGATAGATAGATAGATAGATAGATAGATAGATAGATAGATAGATAGATAGATAGATAGATAGATAGATAGATAGATAGATAGATAGATAGATAGATAGATAGATAGATAGATAGATAGATAGATAGATAGATAGATAGATAGATAGATAGATAGATAGATAGATAGATAGATAGATAGATAGATAGATAGATAGATAGATAGATAGATAGATAGATAGATAGATAGATAGATAGATAGATAGATAGATAGATAGATAGATAGATAGATAGATAGATAGATAGATAGATAGATAGATAGATAGATAGATAGATAGATAGATAGATAGATAGATAGATAGATAGATAGATAGATAGATAGATAGATAGATAGATAGATAGATAGATAGATAGATAGATAGATAGATAGATAGATAGATAGATAGATAGATAGATAGATAGATAGATAGATAGATAGATAGATAGATAGATAGATAGATAGATAGATAGATAGATAGATAGATAGATAGATAGATAGATAGATAGATAGATAGATAGATAGATAGATAGATAGATAGATAGATAGATAGATAGATAGATAGATAGATAGATAGATAGATAGATAGATAGATAGATAGATAGATAGATAGATAGATAGATAGATAGATAGATAGATAGATAGATAGATAGATAGATAGATAGATAGATAGATAGATAGATAGATAGATAGATAGATAGATAGATAGATAGATAGATAGATAGATAGATAGATAGATAGATAGATAGATAGATAGATAGATAGATAGATAGATAGATAGATAGATAGATAGATAGATAGATAGATAGATAGATAGATAGATAGATAGATAGATAGATAGATAGATAGATAGATAGATAGATAGATAGATAGATAGATAGATAGATAGATAGATAGATAGATAGATAGATAGATAGATAGATAGATAGATAGATAGATAGATAGATAGATAGATAGATAGATAGATAGATAGATAGATAGATAGATAGATAGATAGATAGATAGATAGATAGATAGATAGATAGATAGATAGATAGATAGATAGATAGATAGATAGATAGATAGATAGATAGATAGATAGATAGATAGATAGATAGATAGATAGATAGATAGATAGATAGATAGATAGATAGATAGATAGATAGATAGATAGATAGATAGATAGATAGATAGATAGATAGATAGATAGATAGATAGATAGATAGATAGATAGATAGATAGATAGATAGATAGATAGATAGATAGATAGATAGATAGATAGATAGATAGATAGATAGATAGATAGATATATATATATAGTGAACTGAAAAAAGATAGTTCAAATAAAATACTTTTATTTTCTTTACTTTTCTTCTTTTCAGCCTTCAGAAAGCAAATCAGATCACTTTTTTTATAATTGTTCAAAGTAAAAATGAGAATGATAACAATAATGATGCGAGTGATATGAGTAGTAAAAGTGTGATGTACGCAGCTTTCCTATGTACCAAGACATTTTCATCCTCTCACTTACATTTCAAGGGGAGTGAAGGAAAAGCACAGAAGACACTTAAATAATAAATGCATATACGGCTCTGCAGTTGTTTCTAGAGTAGCTGAAGACAGTGTGAATAGTGATGTTGATCACATTTTATTATTTACATTGTCTACACATTCAGAAGAAGAAATGCAAAAGTTGACCTTGTTACTCTAATATTTCTATTCATAAACCATGAGTTTATTCATTAATTCATAACAAATATACGAAACAATAAGGGCGCAAGAATATCACATACTACAGATTAGTATGCCAAAAGAAGAGGTGAAGGAGGCTAAAGACGCATAAACATCTGCATATTTATAGCTATGTAAGTATTATTATTATTCAAGCAATCATACCCTACGAAACAGGAGTGAAAATCGTACTTATTAAGAACTGAGACGGGCAACTTTCAATTCAATAACTGACAACATGAAAAATGGAAGACATGAACGAAAACAAACCAGTTTTCAAGGACACTGTACACATGAAAGCAAGACGACATGATAAGATGTTTACACATATTAATGCTGAAATGGCGCTGTTCGTTATGATCACTATTATTATTATTGCCGCCAAACAATCACAAAAAATCCTGCTTGGTAAAATTAAAATCAATTTGCACGAAAGAGAGGTAGGAAAGAGATGGTCAGTGATGAGTAACACACTATTCATTACACGAAAAATCATTCTGGAGAATATGAGGAGAAAAGATGAAAGAAATTAAAAACTGAAAAAAGACGTATAACATCCTCTCCCAACTTTTATCCGTCTATTCTTTCAATTTACTTCTTAATTGATAAAAAATAAAGTTTCATGACATTATCACTATTATGTACAGAAGGCAAAAAAAAAGGTTTTGTGTAAAAAAAGAGATGAAAATGTTCAAAACAGAAAAGAAACAATAGAAAAAAGATCACTGTTGAACTCAATTAATTAATCAATATACATGATATTATGTTATGATTTTGATGTATTTGGTGGATGGGACTGATGGCGCTATTCGGTTTTCGTTTCATTTTTGAAAGGATGATAATGTTTTTTGTTGTTGTTGTTGAACACTTTTCAGTACAATAGTTTGATAAAGCTTAATTGATTGACAGGTGTTTATAAGAAGGGTTGCAGAATAAAAACACACACACAGATCCAGGTTAAGATGATGTACTACTGGCTGTTTGATTACTGACAGAGACACGTTTGCCGGTCGCATTGTTTCAGTTAACTGGTAAGTTACGGTTATTACTATTATTATTATTATTATTATTGTTATTATTAGGTACAGATGATTTAGTCGTTCGACTGATTCGATTACCACCTGCTTCCTTTGTATTGCCACTTTCAAACATTTCTTGTAGTTTACTAACCATAACTCTATTGGATGGGTTGCATAGTGGTCCTCGGTTTGCATTGGTCTAGAAATTGTCAGAAGAAAAGAGGACTAAACATAAGGACATTGATATTATACTAAAAACATAGTTTAACGAAAACGAAAAAAAAAAAGCAAACCAATCTGATCTTTTTTAGAAAAACAAAAATTCTATTCACATAAACCGTATACATTAAATCCAGAGATTTAGTCATACGCTTGATTTACCGCACAAATAATGAGTAATTTTACATTGAAGATAATAATTAACTTTGGTGATTTACAGACAATTTCATAATCAAAATAAAGGTTCAAAAAGAATCCTTTTACTACAAATCGAAGTCAACAACGTATCAACAAATATTTATGAAAACTGTAGGGAAGTTATACTAGTAAAATGTCAATTTGTCACTCAGTGTCTAATATTTATGAAACTATTCACAATCAAACTTTGATCAAAGTTTATATAAATAGTAATAAAGAAGTCAACGGAGAAGAGGTAAAACAAAAACAAGCTTAAAATTGAATTACATTTGTATAGTAAATGGCTTTAATCAGATATTTTAAGGAAAGATATTATTTACTAGTGAGTAATATGAACAAAAAATAACAGCAACCTTGCTAAATACTAGAAATACTTTTAGTATATAAACGCTTTGCTCTGAGAAGCGAACATCTATGGGGAATATATGCAACAGTGATGTACATAATCTGATTTAACGAAGTACATTAAGTTATAGATAAGGTTCGATCATAACATTTTATCCGGTAAAGCAATGCAAAGTTCATAACCAATACACTTAAATCCCTAATAAAAATAATCAATACATCCAAATTAACTTCCTAATGAATTGACCTAACTTCTCATATGGTGAATGTGAAATGCACTGGAGAATAGACTCTGTAACTGCCCCTCCCCCCTTAACATGAAAACATAATGCACCACAGAGTCATATCGCTTCGTTTAGTGGTTACATTGCAAAACCTGATCAACCAACTTCGATCAGCGCTAAGCACTAAGCAAAAGGTAGTTAAACCGGTTATCCATTGGTAACCAATAAGTGCACACAATCCAGTCCTAAAGGCAGTCAGTTGTGGTCTGACCGACTTAACAACTACGTCTGTAATTTCGTCCCCAAACGACACGGGTTCGAACCAATGAAGGAAGATATCAGTTTCCTCATGTTTGCAGGTAAGTCTTTATTGATGAATGAGTGCTAATAAGCATGAAAACCAACTTCACGGCTTCCTGCCAACTGACTCCCGCTATCTAAACAGTAAAACAGTACGTTTTCATTTTATAGCAAAGAAGATGATCTACTGTAAAATATTTCTTACTTGAATGGGATAATCATCCAAAACTATTGAGGATAGAGATTAACTCATAACCTAGCAATCTCAATTATCAGACGACAGACAATGATCGGTTAAGTTCATCAAACATGTTAAGTAATTCATTCGGTTACCGGAGAGTAGGTATATCATACGCCATAGTCATACAACAAGTGTGGCTCACACTTTAGTACACAGAAATGCATCAGAATGAGTTACACTATTAACAATGAGTCTACTCAACGGTGAAATATTTTTGCAAAAATTGAGGCGACAGGTATTCATAGTCCCAACTGAGAGTAATTATCTAGTTTAATTAACAATTAGAGGAAATTATTTATTGATAAAAAGTATAAACAAAGCTAACTTAAAACCAAATGTAATAAATTTCACATAAATAGTGAGGATAAATCTACATATCACTATCAAATTGCATGTGTAATGTTTAGGCCTCATGTTCTCTTCTCAATGAATCTTGAAAGATAACCATTTTCGATGAACACACTTTTTCAAAGAAGGAACTCCTATGGTTGCAAAAAGGCACTATTTATGAATATAAGATTCAAGAGAGATACATTGGGAGAGATACTAAAGAATTGGTTGTGTAAAGCACTGAAGAAGGGATTCTTTTCCACCCAGCTTCGGATTGGTTTCTCCAGTCTCCATAACTGATTTGAGGGTGAGTAAAGGATAAACTACTACTTTAAGCTATCTTTCCATGTGTGTTTACCAATTCATCTGTTCTTGTGAAACTGGTTACATAGGTTGCATAAGGCCTGTTCTATCCAAACGCATCTCCGAACACTATCCTACATGGCTGTCTAAAGGACAGTACAAAGTCATCAACGGCTCAATACTCGAGCATTTGGTTAACTCTGGTCACTTCGTTTCATGAGAATACTCTTTCAAAGTTGTTTATAAAGTGAAATCAAATATTTCGAAGAGAGTGTCTATCCTCCACCTCAACACGGCAGACGCTTGTGCAATCCAGCGGTACACGTCTGATCTTTGTATTCAAAAGAAACAGTCAATCTTTAGTTTTAACTTGGTTGTAATCACCCGAAAACATTTTATTCATCTCTTTGTTTATTATTTGTTTATTTACCGTAATCCTGTAAGCAATTTTCGATGGCCTTGAGTTGACCTTCTGATCATTATCATCTTATGACTTTATTGACCGTTTTCGATGATTTCGTACTGAATTATTATTATCAGTGTTATTATTATTATTGTTATTATTATTAACCTCATTATTACTAGAACACAAACACGGTATAGCAAGGGCACCAAGAAATGTGCCACAAAATAATGTAACACTATTTTAAAGATATTAAGGGAAGGGAAGTGGATAAAAAGAAAAACAATAAAAACAGGATGATTAGAAGGGTAGTTTCATAAGATACATTTAAAAAAACATTCATTACTTTTCAGCAGCAGAAGATAGAAGGAAGCTACAGCATGACCGCCACTGGTTTCAATTCCGAGCTATATCTGATAACATCTCGAGCCAGTGAGTTACGTGATCTCTCGGATACCACCCAGGGAGTTGTAATGCATTGACAGATGCTGACCTGATACAACCATACAACCATGTCATGTACTGACCACTCCTCCACTTCTTCCAGGCCCAGCGCTAGCAAACAATGAACAGTATGGAAGCTATTGGGACGACATGCGAACACATGTCCAGGCCACCGAAGTAGGTCTTTTCAGATGACTTCACTTACTGAATGATGATCTCCATCATTCCCGAAACACACTCTCATACCTCAAAATTACTTACATAGTTTTGCCACTGGATACGAGCAATGCTACGGAGACAACGAAGATCGAACACACAGTAGTCGAACATCCTTAGCTCGGACAGACCAGATTTCATAGGGGTAAAGCAGAATCGCTCATACCAAAGCGTTGTAAACCCAAAATTTTACGGTCAGACCAACGTCACGATGGCGCCAAAGGTGGTTCAGATTGGCTCACGCCACTCTGGATTGCGATATGTGGTTGGGAATTTCACTGCTCACACAACTACATAGATACATGAAATTCCGATTTCCAACGGCTCACCACCAAGAGCCAGTGCATCCAGGTGCTCCTGCAAACCTTGCAAAAGTATTTTGCACTTCAATGCTGCAAAGCATATACCATGCTTACGGATACTAATCGCCAACTGATTCAGTGCGACTTAAATAGCCTGTGTGTTATAGCATAGTAAGACGATATCGTCCGCATACTCAAGGTCGAATAGCCATTCTCTGGGTAATAGATATACACCATCATCACGCATCTTCTTCACAGCCACCTTAATAATGTCATCCATAGCAACATTAAAGGGAATAGAGAAATCGGGAAACCCTGCCTAACCCTACTGCTGGTTTGGAACAATGGAGGCAGGTGGTTGTATGCCCTCACTCTACCTGAGGTATTATATATATATATATATATATATGAAGAATGCTACTCATGAGGAAGATTAAACTTAATGGGACGTTGAAATAACTATAATGGTGGTTATAATAATAATGTTGCTAGTTCATGACGTAAAGGTTGAATGATAACAAAAAGGTGTTAAGTAAGATTTTTTTTTAAAAAGTTGTTTAAAAGGTGCATATAGATTACAAACAAATTTAATCCGATTACAATATTCTTAAGTGAAATAACTGTAGCATTTAAATAATGTTCAAAATAACAGTATTATAAACAAAAAGACGTAACGATCAGCTGTTGTTAGGATGTCATCGAGTGTGTATGTACGTGGTTGCATGAAACGACTAAAAGAAAAAGGCGCGTAATTTTGGTGCTGGACGTTCATTCATTCAGTATGAAAATCCTATAATCCCAGCTACCTATTCCTTCAATAATTATATGGTGTACTGTTGTGTGCCTAGTGACTGATTATCATCTAACCGTAATCGTTTTTCATCGTTTCATTGTTAATTTCAAAAACAATAAGTTGAAAATATCTTAAAAATGTGTCAGAGTATATATTACAGTTTGTTGATATTTGAATGAATAAAACAAAATTTCCGAAAGTGTTATCCGAGCCAGAATTATTAAGGACAGAGCATTAACCATAAACTTCAATATAAACTCTCAGTGAAGACTCCACTTAGAATAGTCACACGATATGCTATATATATGCATATAATTTTTCTCTGCTAATCATAACAGTGAACTTGAGTAACAACATTCACCTTTACTGACGTATAAAGTATTCACATTTGACGGGTGCCAAATCAAAAGTAGGAGATAAACTTTATCTGCAAATTATTTCTAACCACCTACGCACAACAAATCTGTTCAATAAAGTATACTTTTTAAGATCTCCAGTATCCTATTATATCTACAACAAATAAACCAGCGTGTTTTCAAGGATACCAGTGTCAACTTCTCACTCAGCATCCAGTTTTTGTGAAACTATTAGGTGAAATCCTAACCAGGTTTCATATAAATTACTTCTATGGTAGTTTTATCATCTGTTTTATCATTCAGTCAAGGTGATAAATCAAATTTTTTTTTTTAAAACAGTCAACTAACTTTTTCATTTGGATATCCATTTGGTAAAGAACGGTTGATATATGTTGCTTCGGTTAACTGATTCATTCCTAAACTCTGAAATCTTCGAACAATTTTCGATTCAACTATATCATTATTACAAGTGATAAGTGAACTATTATTCAAAGGACCAGATGTTATTTCCATTTCTTTCACTGCTCTAGAAACTACACCGAAGGATGAAATTGATGAATTGATATTTTTAGTTGACGTTTTCGATTGGTTAACTTTACTTCCAATCTCTTTACTAGCTAATTGAACAAAGCCAAGTTTTTGATTTGTTGAAATAGTTTTTATAGTAGATGTAGATGAAATAGATGTTCGAGGATCAGGCGAAGAATCGACTTCAGCCTACAAAGGATATATGATAGAAATTAAAAACAACAAGACATTTTACAGATAGAAACTAACTTTATTACCATTCTCATATATGATAGTTCAATTGTGGACTACAAAAAAAACTCACTTTTTCCTACCTTATCCAAAACGCACAACATCATAGATATAAAGCTTAAGCTGCAAAATTCCTATCTCAGTAGGCAATAGCTTAAGAAATGTTGACTTCTGTTTCAGTCACTTCCTGTTTATCAGGCTAAACAGACGTTTAGTGACTGAATAAATCTGTGCAATCGATATCGGTCCACAAATTCATTTACTAACTTGCACAAAAGTTTAGATTCATATTAGTCAATCAACAGTGATTCCTCATACGATGATAGTGTAATAAACGTGATGGCTATTCATCTTTAATTTCTCACTCCTTATTCAGAATAGTTTTTTTTGTGGAACTTATCCCTTTAAAAATGCCCTTAGTGTTCTTGTCATGCAGTCGAACACATGAACTTATTCAAAATAGATGAACAGTTTAACAGCAAGTTGTTAGTAATTTAAACATGTCCTTCAGTGATGATATTCTTTGATGAGTCTGTTCAGTCGATTATTAGTGAGGATGTGATAGCAAAAGATATGATTACATCAAGGTGCTCCCATATACACTTTAGTAAAGAAAGTTTTCATTTTGAAAACCTCTTTACCAATCCTATAGTGAGTATAATAGGTTTGGAAACGTTTTTGTTCATTATCAGTATAACTATCTAAGATAACCGTGGCTGGCAGACTCGCATTATCGATATTGGGTTATGATTGAAAATGAAATGAAAATATGGGTTGTGGGAGCAGAGGCCTCTGGAGTTAGTTCACCAATTGTGAGGATGGGTAACACAGATAAGTAATAAGAATATAGCGTGAAAAAGACTTTTTCAAGAAACTTTGAAGTATTTATGGTCGGAAAACCGCTTGGACGGTAGAACACCATTGTAGAATACAAAAAAGTATTTCCAAGGTGATTAGTGTAAAGCTTTGTTAGAACAACCTATTTTGTTATGAATTTCGAGTAAACACACTCACTCAGGCATAATGAGAGGAAACGACGATCATGAAGTTTAAAAACCATTCTAATTCATCCAACACATCTTTCCAAAAAAGTGAAGCACTATCTTGATAAATCTATGAATACTGACTGGTGCTTCTCATCATGAAAAAAATTCCCTACCGTTCATATATTTCAAAATACCTTAACCACTAGATAAGATACAAGTTGTTCAAGAATAATATGCTAGATATGGAGTTATAAAAGTTCCACTTCCTTTTTCGGAGTAAACATGAAAATGGAAGTTATCCAAAAACCAATATAACTCAGTGCACTAATCTCGACTACACATAGGTTTATTTAAAAATTATTTCTGTTAGTAGTCTAAGCTTTTTACTGAAACATTTCATAAAAACTACAGAAAATGCTGATATATAACTGGAGTAGATTCAAAATAAATTACCTCATTCACTGTTTTGTTAACCGATTGGTCCAAATCAGTTTTATCGTGTATCTGTATTTCAGATTTCAAATCAGTCACATATGTTGGCAGATAGTGGAGTGTATTTGCATTGTTAGTTTTACAAGTTGATTGGAGTAATTTATCATTGTTTGATGTATTTGACAGTTTGGAATTTGTTACATTGACCAGAGTATGATGTGTAGTAGTAGCTGATGTGGTCACATGTCCAGTTGCTGCTGCGAATGCTGCACCCAATCGACCAATTATATTATTTTGAAAAGTTGTACGCCAATTACCTGTACTGTTATTGGTAACAGATTTATTGGAAAGAGAATCTGATGAAGTTTTGTCAGCTGGTAAACCACTGGAATTACTTGAAGTAATGGTAGAGACATTTTTGTCACTACAAACTACGGATGAAGCTGAGGGCACAGAATCGGAAATTGAGTTACGTGGACTTAATTTTTTTGCACTATTCAGTGGGATCAGGGGATCTGCACGGGAAACGTAATTATTATTTTGTTTTTCACTAGCTGTAAGAAAAGAAAGGAAGAGAAGAAGAAAACAATTAATATTTTGGTTATGATTAACAGAAATGTGGTGGAAATACCCTCTATTAGCATTCACAACTGCCATGTATCGAAACAGAGAAAAAACACATTTTAAACAACGAACAAATATATCAAGTATTAGTAAGAATAATGTTTTTGAACCGCAATTATTTCATTGTTCAGTGTACGTTTCTATACGAGGGAATCTCTTTAAAGCTAAATTTATATAGAGATGAACTTAAAATGTCTTTCATGCAATTGATATAACAGTAGATACCCAAAATCTTGGGGGACATTAAACACATGAAAGAAAATTTTTAGAAGCTTATCAGTCAGGCAAATGGATAGCCAATAATTCAGACTTATTAACCAGTCATAAGAAATACACAAGAGCATATCAATTCCTAGACAACCAATAATACAATTTCCGTCTATCGTGATACATTTATTATAATGACGAACTACGACCAAGATCATTAGGTAACATGAGTAAGTAGGTTGTGGAGAAAATGCCAATTTCTTGTTAAAGTTGACAGTAAAATCTCTGTCGCCAACCGATCAAGATCAAAGAATGTCAGCCACAACTTTGCGAGCTGTATATCCTGACCAATTACTTCATTTTAAGTGACTTAATGTGCCAGGATATATATATATATATATATATATATATATATATATATATATATATATATATATATATAGGTGTCTTTAGGAATGCTATTAGCGTAGGCAATTTTCACATTTCTGTGCTGTAAGTAATTTATCAAGCACCAAATCATAAGTTCATTCGGTCACATATCGATTAAGAACATACAAACAGAGAGTTAACCTTTCAAAATTCACTATACATAAAAAAATCCTTCCCAAACAGCAAATTTCTAGTTAATCTTTCTTGTTAGTGAGACTTCTTGAAATAATCATGCATACAGTAAGAGGAAATGGAAATTATATTCAACAGTAAAAAAGGTTTGCTTTCTACTTAGAACTTTGGAAATGGAACTATTCATATTTATTTAGTTGGATACAACAAAAAACACTTTAGTGGTTTAGGGAGATGACTATCGACCAGTGGGTCATAGGTCCGAAACCCGCTCCCACCTAATGAGATTTAGGCAGCCAGGTAGTATCAATAGCCTTTACACAAAAGGTGCAGCCCATTGCCCAGTACAAGGATGTGCCAAAGGTAAATGAGCGTTATTTTGTCGAACTTTTCGTGTAATGTATTTCAAAACTTCATGCATCCAATAGTCTATTTGATTTGGGATATCAAAAGAAGACCAAGCGCATTTTTCAAGGTGAATTTCAATTGTTTTCATGACAATTTTTGTTGTCTGGTAAATTTACTTTGGCATTGTTTGGTACCCACAGAAACGTTGATCCAATGGTATAACCACTTATATTCTAGACATAAATTCATACATGTAAACCCTATTCCACATCATTACATCTAAGCTCATTAATACTGCAAAAAAGCGGTTAGTTAATCGTATTAACATTAAAATTTACTCAAGCGTAGACTAGGCTACTTAAAAAATAGTAATCAATATAGACATATTGGGAAACAAAAATAAAAAATTATTCTGCACCAATGTAACTGACTTCAAGAAATAATGCATACATCCTGAAAAAACTGATTCGTTATATAATGAGCAGTGGGATAGAATGATGTAAAATGTGAGATACTCATTTTCTGATAGGCATATTGATATCTTGAAAATAACATAGGCAAATTATTTGTTGATGAATCCTGAACTAATGTATTGTATCTGTAAATGAAATATATTTTGTAAGTTCCCAATGAAGTAGAAAAATAATAAATTTATGACGTTTAGCGACTTCGTGGAAATCGCTTCTTCAGAGAATAAAACCTGTACAAAGTTATCGAAAGTTCAAATAGTAAAAGGTGATAAATCCGACTTCCGATAACTTTGTACAGGTTTTATTCTCTGAAGAATCGATTTCCACGAAGTCGTTAAACGTCAGAAATTTATTATTTTTCTACTTCATTGGGATCTTACAAAATATATTTCATTTATAATCTAATTACCCAATGCTTAACCTATTCAACTTTATCAGGTTAAATTTTGATCCTGAAGTTTACAATATTATATCTATGCTGAAATTTGTTCATATCGTGATGTATGCTACTGCTGAAAATGCATTGAAGGACAATTTATTGCAGCGTCCTAGGCAGAAGTCACAATAAGAGACGATCGATTCCTGTATCTTATGGAGGAGAGAAACAGTAGATTGGCTAGCAATATAATATGAAACAAGATCGAGAGAAAGAAAACGAAAGAGTAAGGAGCTAAGAGAACAAGAACAAGCTTCTCATAGAGCACATTCACAATCAAGTTGTAATTTTTACCAGTGGCTAAGTGAAATTTGCTAAATAAACTATTCTACACAATGTCCATCATTGTTATTCTCAATACTAATGCGTATGATGGAGCATTCAATGAGAATAACTGCCATTTACACTTGTACCTGCTGTTTACCACAGAGAATAACGACTAATCATTCAGTGTTATGAATGGTCTTACCAAGACACAGGCTTTTAGACAGAGTCATGTATACTCTTAAATTTCTAAAACTTAAGAAATTAAGTTAAACACTTTGAAGTCATCACATAATAAGTATGAAATCAAGATTTATATCACATAAAACTCAGCCTTCAATCTCTCCTTTAAGTGTTACACTTGATTACAACAAACATGAATGGTATGAATGTAATGCTTACTTTGAGAATTGATTACATGTGAAACAATAGGCGGCGGTTTTGAATTAGCTGAATACACATTACCCGCTACTTTATAGTTCGATAGATGCTTTGCTTGTATTACATGATTTGCAGTTTTAACTTTATCTGTTTGGACTGAAGTACGCTCAGTGTTATTATTGTTGTTATTTTTATTCTGGCCTGATTCTTTTATATACAATTGCCTATTTTCAACTGTACGATTTGATGATGATTGTCCGATTGAATTTATTTCCGATGATGTTTTAACAACTTTATTGCTATTGACAGAATTATCTGGTAATGAAAACCTTGGTTTCTCATTTACCTTAACAGGAAACACAGGTGATGTAGGTGAAGATGGAGGTTTCTAGAGAAAATGAGGATAGAGACGGAAAGATAAATATGAGAATTATGGTCATCACAAGTAAAAACAATAGAATGAATTGACAGAATGATATGTTGAAATAGTTTTCATTATCCCTTACAAACCAAATGCATGTACTCACAGCTACCTGATTAACTGAGTTTGATAGTGAACATCATCAACCTGGAACCAAGCACTACTGCATAACGGTCCAAGTTGCCACACCTCATATCACCACATCAAGTGACAAAGTAGTAAGGTGGAAGATGAAGAAATTCGTGAAAGAGCAAAGTAGGATAAGAGAATACTGAAATTCAGTATGACGATTAAGATGAATATAGTCGGTGGATACATCTACGCCACTGACATGGATTCTGGATCATATCACTTAGAACCTTCAACCAGTGGTTTCTGTTGCCATGCAGACCCCTATGAACAAATCTACGTTTCCATACATTGCTCAAAACCAGTCAAAGACTTCATACAATTACGCCATATTTTAGTATGGCCAACCCTAACTCTCAGCTTAAACCTGCTTCAATAGATGTTGAGCCACAGGGCAGGTAGTGACTAGGCATGTGTAACACATGTCCCAGCCATTTCAATCTATGAAAGTTCCCAACCTCATCAATTGGCCTTCCTCTTCTCCCTAAAACTCTACACCTGGCTTCTGCATTACTCATGTAGTGACATTACGACACACAATCTATGCTACGAAGGCAACCGTGGTCAGATGCCTGAAGCCTTCTCATATCCTTCAACTTTCACGGTCGTTTCACAGCTATATAGCAGAACAAAGCCAACAGCAGCAGAGTACACTCAGTCCTTAATAGGTAATTGGATATCATGTCGGTACCACAAGTGGCATAAACTGGCAGACATCAATGGAGTCTTTTGTATATGTAAAGAGATTTCATCGGCCATTAACTCACAAAGGTTGATCCAGTTTCCCAGGTGAGTAAAGCGGCCAATGCGCCCAACCATTTCACTCCCGATTGGTAGATGAGACACTAATGGACACTAGTTTTGGAGCAAAAATTTGCATTTGGGTGGTGAAAAACGCATTTTAAACATTCTAAAATTGCTGTCAACGGCGTTTAGAAGAATATGTGTCTTGTCAGAGTTTTCATATAAAACGTTCTACCAATAATTCTCCTGTGAGTCCCTACAAAGTGAGACGACGAGAGAGAGACCTCCAAAACAACGTCTATAATAAGGTTGAATAAGAATGCAGACAGTGGTCATGGTTGAACATTACTCGATGTACACAAGTCACCATAGGATGTAACACATCCACAAGTATTCCCGTACAGAGCTTTCATCAACAGAGTGATGTACTTACTCGGCACTGCATTCAGTGAGAGACACTGTTATAAGACAACTCGATCAACGGAGTCAAACGTCACCTTTAGGTGGAGAAATACAGCCATTACCGGGCGTCAGTGTGTCTGCGTTCCAGGACCTGGCGGAGAGTGAATAACTGAACGATACACTTACGGTTGGGTCTGAAGCTTTTTTGATTTTTTCAAGTTTATTGTCCCAGAGCTCAACTCAAACGTCTCATAATTATAAAACTTAAAATCTTAGACACTATGCTTGTCACGCTGACTTTCTTGTGGTTATTATAAGAAGATTTCCCAACTTTTCTGAAGACTGGGACAGGCAGTCATTGAGACCGGTCAGAGGGAATCATATATAACTCTCTTACACTAGTTAATATTTCAGTTAGTTTAACTAAAAGCCTTCAACCAACCTCGTTAAATAACTCTAGTACTAGTTCATTTGGTTCTGTTGCCCTTCCCCATCAATAGTGAATATGATGATGATTTAATGTGAAGCCAACATTGATATATCTTTAGATGATTAAAAGCACCTACTAGGAAACCCTGAATTTCAGTTTTAAATATTGGTGAGTATAGATAAGATTGCATATATGAAGTAAACCTGTAGTATTCTGCATTGGAGTCGTAAACGACGATCATCTACTACCTGCATGATCTTATTATATCAGTACACAGAAACAATAAAAATTATATACGTCGCGCAAGAAGTGGGTATCGTGGCTCAGTGGTCCAGTAGATAGCGGTCTGGGTTTGAAGCGATCAGTCCCGGGCTCGAATCCCGGGAGGCAGGTGCATCCAGCTGACGACTCCCAAATAGGACGAAACGCGCTTCCTAGATTCCACTGGTGACTGCTACCCATCATTAATAATGAAAACATATTTGACAAGAACTGGACTTACCAATAAGGCGAAATTCCGCATTTACATGTTACTAGTCATTATAGCTTGTTGAGGATATAACACTTATTCATGCTTAATGTATACATTTGCTAAGTAAATCTTCATTTTGTATCTTCAATTTTGCACACAGGTCAAATTAATGTGATTTATATTGCTGTTTACCTCCTCTTTCACAATAACAACAACAATTTTACATAAATATCTTAAGGAGGACTAAGGGGGTTATATAATTTTTAAAGTCACTTTCCATCATTCAAGTGGGAAGTAAAAGAAACAAATACAGAGTTCTCAGAGAAATAAGATCAGATTAGAACTTAGCATGGCTGGTATCAATAACAAAACTGATTGCACTTAACGATACTTGACTTGAAAAACAGTTGTGAAGTAATTAACTTGGTTTTGCAAAGTAGAAAAAAAGATAACGAAAACTACAGTAAAATAGTAGACAAAACTTTGTGAGCACGATCTAGGAATAAATTATGTAATGATTACATCAAAACGAGTTAATTTCTTGAAGTATTACTTCATAGCACGTTCTACATCCTATATGAAGGTGAGGCAATGAATACATCTCAATCTAAAAAGCATGAAGTATGAAGTCATCTTATACACTAAAGATGTTGATTAACACTTTAAAGTGTGTACACATTCACTTCAACTGAAATTTTAAAAGTTGTACGAATAAAATTTCGTTAAACTGCGGAAACCTTAACTCTGCATACAAAAGAAGTTGACTCAATCATTAAATGTACAATCGCCTTAACCTGTGTAAAGTTTTTACTTTGAGAAAATGTTTTCTTTTCTGCCCTTATTACTTCATTACATTTACTCACCTTATGATGATATATCTTTCCATCTTACCAGTTTAACAACTTTTCATTGTTGAAGTCCACTCACTTTTGATAGGCTTAACATGAATAGTTAAACAGATGGCAATAAGATAAGTGATAGACTTCAGATTTTCTAGTATGATAACAAAACCATTTTATTCATCTCATAAAGACGCATAATCAATAAACAAAAGGATATCCATTTGAGTATTTATTAGCTCTTATTGATAGATAAATATTTTTTTCCTTGTCATATTCAAAGATTATGAATGGCACCAAAACATTTTTGCCTACCAGAACTTGGACATCCGAAAAAAACGAGAAGGTTGACTCAAAGAGATTGAATTATCTGATACACATACTTTCAAATATACGCTTGCAAACTCTAACTACCTTGATGATATAAATCACGTAAAGTTGAAATTAAATTCGTTTTTTCATTTTCTCGGCAGTGAAATCCAAAGAAAGCTTGACAATCCGACTGAATAGATTCATTCACATAAAACTTTCAGATATCTACTTACTTAGGATGCTGGTTATCTTTAAGTAAATAGAGGAATCTTGTATATTCTTCGCATTCCAAGACCACACAGGTATGTAATGATGATGTCATTATTATCGAGAGGAAAAAAAGCTGTCAAAGTACTGTTACAAAAGGGTTGGTCGTCTTTATTTATAGACCAGAATAGAAAAGCGAAGAAAAAAATCACAGAATGATCTCTCACCTAACTCAAACAAAGATTCTTTTATTGAACTTTGAATTCAGAGGTGATATCACCATACTCCATAAACACGAAAATATTTTATACAGTGAGTATTCTTAATATTTTCACATATTAGCAACTATTTCGTCAACATGAGAAGGATAAGAAGCAGTTATATGTCATTGGCCTAAGAACTTGACTTTCAACCAATGAGCAATGTGTTCAAACCTCGCTCCACCTACATACGTGGGGCCTTCACACAATAGGTGTGGCTCATTGTCTACTACACGAATATTAACATGATTGCTGAGTGCATTTTCCATTTAAACCATTAGTTGATGTATTGAGTCTCAATCAAGGTGAATGTACAATTTTATTTGTTCTTGTGAAGGTCAGCACACTAATTGTACTATACTATACACTGACTTACCAAATATGATTGTGAATAATACACAGTTTACCCGTTCAAACGTTAGCATGAGACTATTTTCTAATTAATAATTGAATATTTATTGTATTCTGAACATTCAGTTCTACAAATCATTCTAAAGACTTGAAGATAATATATTTATGAAGAGGTAAAGTATTGGCAATCCGAAGTTTCAAACACCACTTAAGTACTCACAAGCAATCTGTAAAATCATCTTCCATAACGCAGTATTAAAGTATCAATTTAAATTTCTGTCAACCTTTACAAAAAAAAATGCTAGATAGGTCATAAATTTCCTAGACAATGTTCAATGTTACACATATACTCATTCATTTCACTTCACAAAATATTTTTAATGCTGCAGAATATTTGTAGCTCAGGTAGATGATCTTGATTGTGTTGTATTCTGAGCTAGTTAGTTTAATCGTGAAGCTTTCAGTGCTATTCTAGACAAAATCATCAGTACTAACTTCATTTTAATGTCAGTAATGATGATGTCGTTTAGAAAAACGATGAAAGCTTCACGCTTAAATCATTCAGTTCGGAAAACACAAAATAAACTAATATTTTCATTACTTTAGTAACTTTGACCACTAACCGAAAATTTTTGTGGAAGTTTTTATGCTTTGTTTACATGTGCTTATAAATGTACAGTTATGAAAATGAATTTCATTGAAAAGGGCAACTATCTTAGTTGTAACCACCTATTTACCCTTTTTTTTACTGTGATTAAATATCGATATTCCACTACTTATTTCAGTTAGTTTTCATGAATATTACATCACTAGAATATATTTACTTCTATCGTCATAGATATGTCTTCATCTCTCTCTCTCTCTCACTGCTTTATAATCTACTATAAACTGTGTTACATAAGCGCATAAAATGAATAAAAGTCTATTTTTCTTTCTTAAAAAAAGTTGATAATCCGTTGAAGTGAGCCTTCATTTACTTATTTCTCTACATAATATCGAATAAGGGATGTTAAATGAATGAATTCAATTTTGAAGGTTTGTGGGGATTTATTGATTTCAAGTTGGTGTTCATCATAGATTGACACCATTTAGGGAACTATTGATAATCTGGTAGTACTGAAGAATTGTTTAATCCTAGTATGGTACTCCTCAGCAACACATACCGGGAATCGAAACCAGGACCTCCAGGTTTTGCGGCGTACACGTTAACATTGAGCCACTAGGTTAGAACCCACCAAATGGTTCATATTTTCCTACTTCTGTAAGTTCATGATTTAGCGCAAATAAATGGATGAATGAAAGGAAAGCACAAAGAAGAATAGAATAGATGGAACAAATGAATAAGAAAGTTAATCAATGAACTGCTTACATTTTCTTGATCTGCATTATTATTGCTATTCATAGACAAAACATTAGCACTTGGATTGGTAGCGATAAAATGCCGTAAACTGGACAACTTTTCCTTGCTAATTAAGCTGTCACGTCGACATGTAGACTGTTTATTATCTTTAGGCTGAATAACAAATAATAATAATAATCATAACAAACATAATTGAAGCAGACAGTACACATCACAGCAGTAACGATTGGTATATATATATATATATATATATATATATATATATAAACAAACTTTACGCAAAACAAAGTGAAAATGAAGAAAATATTCTATATTCTATTTTTACAGAGCATTCATTGATCAAGAATGAAATTGAAAACATAAATCTTATTTTCTATATGACTTGTTGACCTCTATGTAATAACTGCATCTTTTTGTCGGTGGTTCCTATAAATATATGACCTTGAGATTAACTATTTCAAACACTTAGGTTTCTTAAATAAAGCACTCGGTTACGGTTAACGCACTGCTGCAAATGGATAGTACTTGTTAGTACAGGACGGTAAATGCCATAAAATGAGTTAGAAAAACGAAAAACAACAGGTCTGAGTGAAGGATTCATGGAAGATTAATCACGTGGTGAAAGCGAATAAGTTTAGCCTGAGCAAAACAGATTGCTGATAAAATGTACAGAATTATTTCGAGCACATAGTTCATACAAATCTGTGTAGATCTTTTAATTTATGGACAAAATTTTAAGTGGTTCAAAGAAAAAGAAATTGGACTGCATGGAATTTGACAGGTTTTTCTGTAGAATTTTCAGTGCCAAGAAAAGGAATACTACGCAAGTATCGTAAGATGAAACCAGTTAGGCAACATTCTTAACTACCTGGAGATTTTACCCATCAAATCAGAAAATCCCGAAACCTGTCCAACCTAATTACAGACAAGCTCTCTACAGACGTAATACGGTCGTTGAAGGTATAAGGTATGAAGATAGGAATCTCTGCGAAAACATTTCCGTTTGGTGTCACTAAGAAGTAAGTAATTTTAATGCTAAGAGTATGAACCTAAGTGATTTAAGATGATTGGTACGTGCCCCGTACATAGAGACATTGTTTATCGCCAGGTGTAATATCGCTTAGAGTAATATTACGGTTCAGCTGAAACATTGCAGTAATACACGCTGCTCACAGTCATGCAAACTACATGACTCTAGTCTTCAATATATCAGGAACAGCTTATTGAAGATATAATTTACGATCGATCATAGTGATGTGAGAGCACTCAGTTCATAAATTCCTCGTTTGCTTTATTATCATTTTAATTTTGTGCTGTCATAAACTGTAGCCATTAATAAACTACCTACTTCTCCGTGGGGTTCCAATTGGATGTCTGCTCATAAAAGCAAGCTAAACAACAACTTACCCAAGACTATTCAGCTCATTAAGTAAAACTGTTCAGATCAACTGAATCTGGTGAACTAATGCAGATGAGCGTAAGAATATCTTTGACTCAATGCAATAAAAAAACACTTACACTCATCATCAGTGTTTTTGAATAGTCAGTTTCATCAAACAAACAAACCAAACCCAATTTATAACGAAAATAGAAGAATTAACGATAGAATTTAAACTGGTGGGTCCAAAAAGAAGGGGAGTAGAAAGAAGATTATTTATATGCATTGCAGTGAAATAAAAGATATGTTTCGGAGCAAGATCCTGTCAAGAAAAAACTCAAAAAATAGTTGATCAGGGTTATAATTGCAGTGAAAATGAAGCTGTTAGTTCATAAACACCTATCTGAGAGCACAACTAACTAGTAATTAAACTGATTGGTGAAAGATATGGGCATCAGCTTATAAATTTCATAATCTGATGTATCTAGGCTATATGATGTCTAAGTGAAACAGTTACCCAGTTCAATGCATCCCACTAGCTAAGACAAAAACGCAACAGATCAAACCGTCCAGATAAGAAAGTGGTCCTCCACAGCTGAGATTTCCACCACACGAAAAATCAGTGGTTGAAGGTTTGTGGACATTTAACGACGAAATGTCTATGTTCTAGATACTTTAACTCAGTTTCTTTGACAAAGTCCAGCTAGGTGAAGACCCTGAGTCTTTTGGACACCTTAAGAATGCTTGGCCTGGATATCTCCCCATCCAAAAGAAGAATGTTACTCCAACATTGGTCTGTGTTGATGCCCCGTTCAACAATAGGCAGTGAAATGGTTGAGTGCGTTGATCACTTCACTTATTTGAAAAGTGATGAGTGAATGATCGACAAAATCTCTTCGCAGATAAAAAAAAAACGCTCGCTTGGCCTACATCAAATTAACCACTTATGGCAGTGACTCATTCTTTTAAACAGTTGACTTACAATCAATGGATTACGGGTTCGAACCCAGCTCCACTTACTGAGGTCTGGGAAGCCAAGAAGTATCGTTAAATTTGACGCAAAAGGTGTTCCTCATCACCTGATGCATGGACATATGCGTAGTTGCAGAGTATATTTTGGTTTTCGACCACTTATGGCCTCACTATATTATCTGACTGCATATTGAAAGCACTGTAGTGGACTGCAATTCCATCTCTCCTACTATATAGCTGTGAATTAGGGCCACTCAAAGTAAAGGACGTAAGCAGGTTTTAGGTGTCCCACTACCGTTGCCGTTATAGTACCGCCAAGTGAGTAACATAGAAGTCATGCGTAGGTAAGCCAGTTGATGAGGTTGTGAAGCTTCATAGAGTGAGATGGCTGGAACACGTGTTACATATGCCTTGTCACCGGGTGCCTTGTTGCATATTGTTGGCTGGGGTAGGTCTCGAGTGGAAAAGATTTAGAGACAACCAGATCGAACAGTGGTGTCAGTCCCCAAAGCCTTTGATTGTTGATCTAAACCGTATAGGAGAATGTAGACTTCCCATTTGCGATACACCTGACAACCGAAACCACTGCTTGAAAACTTTAGGTGATATGGCTCAGATGTGTCCACACATTATCTTCATTTGAAATGTCATGCTGAATTTCAGTTTGCTCTCATTTTCTTTTCTGTCTTTTAATGACTTTCTACTATTTTGAATACTTTCTTCCTTACTTCTCCATCTCACATCTAGGTGCCTCCTACCTTGATGAACTGATATGAGTTAGTCAACTTCAACTGCTACATGGAAGTTTCAGGTCCCACATTGATCCTGATTAACTTTGAGCGTGTTACACATATAAAATGATAAAAGCAGTTTCTTCTTTCGAAACCGTGGTCGATAATCTATGTCAACTTGATTATTTTGTACTCTATACACGAAAATCCAGTTGTATATACTAGATTAGCAAAATGATTTTTTATTCACACGAAGAATATTCTTTTCCTACCCCATCCGTCTGAAACAACATAATGTCAGAGTATGGAAAAAGTATTTGCTCTAATGTTGTCTGCTATTTCTCATTCACCTAGCCGATTTTCCTTTGCATCCGAATATAACTATTGTTCCGTCCCTTTTTCATCTCATCATATCTTCGATTTTGCTTCCATCCATGTATTTGTTCTATGACTGGTGTTTATCTAGTGCCTATAAAAAAACATACGGACTGCATTCGCATGCTTACTTATCGAAATAATCAGGTGAATTTTTACAGAAGCGTGTGCTGCTTCATATAGCCGTGATGATCAAAAAGCTTGTGAATTGAAGTGAATAATTCATGTAACACAACCTTGATCTGTAAATAGTTTTCTCTCTAATCACTAAAACACAAAGTTCTTTTGTTTAGTTGCCGTCATACGGAAATACAATTCTTGCACTATTTAAAGCTTCAATCCTAGTCGTCTCATAGTTCTATTTTTAGTCAAATAATATAATTGATAGACATGCTATGTGGATAATATAATTACAATATCTGTCGCATTCATACATTCAGCAGGCGGGGGAGTATTTCGTAAGGAATGAAAGATCGATGTTTAATCATTCATTAGGAATACAATCTGGTTATTATGTCTCATACCTTAATGTGAAGTCTATGAAGTTTTACACATGTGTAATATTCACCACAGTTGAATGACGATGCTTCCAGTCTTTAATTACTTGCACCACAACAAATATTTTCAGTACTACTAATCTGAATTGCTAGAAAAGGTAACACTTGAAGAGTGAGCCACGCCTGAACTTAGACATTCACCTGGATTAAATAATTGAATGGATACTTACTTATTCCTGAAATCACTGAAGTAAGTTATTGTTGGTCAATAAATCTACGAACATAAGAATTATTGTTAAAATAGATGTTTATCTAACAAAACACTTGGTCTTGTAGATGGGTCAATCATGTCGACTACTCACAACGCAAACGCCAAATATTGCGCCGTTCGATGTGAAGAAAGAATTGTGAGCAGAAATGATTGAAACTCAGAACGATGTGTATGTACTGTAAAGTGATATTTTCCTGCTATTTTCATAACATTCAAACACTCGGTATCATGATAGAGTCTAATGTCCTACCTCTGTATCATTCAATGCTGCTAAAACCTTTTATGTTTCTCTGTAGTCATCAATTTGATGAGGCTTGTAAACTGGCTTCTCTCATGTTAACTTCATAACTTGAGAATGAAGATATTTATTTATTATTTATTACTGTTGCCTGCAACCGATGAAGTGAGTTTTCGTTGGCCAACGGTACTATAAACATGTTAATTGATGTCAAAATAAACGTTTATCTGACGAAACATGAAACTATACCGCCAGGTTAACCACTTATGTCACATGTAACGCAAATGTCGAATGTTGTACGATTTTGGTATCAATTTATTGTGTAAGAGGAATGGTGAGTGGAGATAACCGAAACTCATAAACAATCTGTATGTACTGTGAAGTGATATTTTTCTGTTCTTCATATGACCTGCAGTCACTTTTGATATCATGATAAACTCTGGTGCTATACCATCTGTATCATTCAGGACAGCTCAACTTCTGGAGATTTCTTTACCAATATCAATTTGATGATGCCTGTAAACTGGCTTCTCTCATGTTAAACTGTTAATTTAAGAATAAAATATTTATTTATTTATTATCTTTTCGAATCAGGTGAACCACTGAAACTTATGAGTATTCATTTGATGGTATAACATAGTCAAACAGTGTCGATACTTAACAGAAACAGTATTGTAACTTCGTTTATTACTAAATAAATCACAATCGTGTACTTCAATCATAAAAAATAAAGTTTCGTGAAACTGTAGCTTCATAGTTCAAACAATTAGACGTCAACTATGTGTGACCGGTTTAAATTCCAACATTTAAGTAGCTTGATAATATAGAGAGGTCTGCATACGGTAGGCCATACTTGTACATTAATGGACAATCACTTGTATAGCTAACGTATAGTCCCTGGATCTTGGTTAAAGTGAAGCAATTTTCACGAAACTAACAGTCGTATTTAAAGTAGTCTTGATGGGCGTTCTATGCATTATTCATTATTCACAGAAAGATGATAAATTGATACTTACTTTAATCCAGGGATGCTGAAGACATTCGTTCACTGTCGCTCTTTTTCTAAACAAACAAGAAAAGTAAGGTTTCAAAAAGAAAATTTTTTCGTGTATTTCAGGAAGTTGGACGTACCATGACAGTATGCATTCATCAGTGTAATGATACACTGTAGAAACCATATCAAAACTACCTGACAAAGCCCATCGAAAGTTTTAAAATGTTTGAATCGAAATGAACTGAGCAACCACGTTCATGCGGAAGGCAATGAACCACAACTATTGTGTGAGGCCCAGTAGTACTAATTGGCCGCTCAGACCTCGATAAAATTGGGGTGGGGTTCAAACCCACAAGCCATCGGTTAAAAATCGAATCCCTAAAACAGTGGTTTTATTCCACCGTTTTTATTGAATAGCAATTTAACCAGATGATCCTGCAGTACTGGATAACTGACTTCATGATCAGTGGTACCATTAGGATTCCGAACATGGAAATAATGTGTTAATGCATTCACTCTACTGCGATCGACTCTAAGCGTCAGCATTTAGACTCTCCAACCATCGATTTCGGTTGACACGCTGATCTCAACGAGGAAGTCTCTATTTCTCTACCAACAGTCAGAGACTTCATGAACTGATGCCACATTTTAATCTGACCACTTTTAACCTTCTTCTCACCCAAATCTACTTAGGCTCGCATTGTCAGTTGGGGTACACACGGTGAAAAGGTATGTGTAACATATGACCCAGCAACCTGAGTCGATGAAGGTTGATGACCTCATTAACTGCCTTATCTCTTATATCTATGACTATAAGCCAAACCTCAACATTGCTCATTTGGTGTTTCGAACACATGCAACCGATGCAACGAAAACACCTACGGTTAACACATATGTAACTTAACCGTATCTCTCATCTACAGTAACGTATTCTTAGAGTGTTTCTATTGTTAAGTGGTGCGTTAACTTGAAGCTAAAGAGATGACCTTCATGAATTAAGCATCGAAAAGGGATATTAATTAATCCATATCCACAGATAGTGAAGATATTTAATGACATTTCTTAAGAACATGTATAAAGAAAGATATATGCATACAATAATATGCATAGACATATATGGACAAACTGCTGAAAAGCTAGATTATATTTTTCTCTTTATATGAAGAAAGGAATGCGTTTAGTATGACCTTCACAGTCTGAATATAATCAATAGAATATTTCTTGCGTCTTAGGTTTTGTTAATTGCAGGAAAAATGTGCAAAAAAGATACATGAATCAACGTAACAACAGATGTACACAAATGCAAGTTTACCACCTTCATATGGACAAAATGCAGTGATTATGCTGTTACATAAAAATGTGTTTGCAAGTGTGCGCCTATTCAGTATATATATATATATATATATATATATATATATATATATATATATATATATATATATATATATATAGTACAGTTTATTTTATTAGTCCATTAGGAAGTGAAAAAAGGTAGGGAAAATGAACACTAGAAAAACACTGGCAAGATAAGCTATTCTGTCACTCACTTACCAGATAGATCAGACATGAGTGATAATGCTGTGCTATATATATATATATATATATATATATATATATATATATATATATATATATATATATATAAGTCGTGTGAATCAAGATAATAGATAAATTGTGTTGCAAATCAGCTTTTACATTTAAAAGTATGATAGACTAGGATGGCAAAAAATGAGTACGAAACAGGTTTCATGCAATAGAATATGCAAGCTCTGACAACGGAATCAAGAAACTACAGACAATTCCAAACAGTAGCTGTGATAAAACTCTATATTACCTTTCATGGGGTATAAACAAACAGGAAGATGGATAAATTTCAAGTCAAGCTAACATCAACATGAAACCTGGCATTAATGAATAACGGTACAAGTTGCTACACCTTATATCAGCATATTAAACGAAAATGCACTGAGGTGAAAGATACAGAAACAGGGAGGGAAGTAGTCAAGTGTGGCAGAAGGTCGCAAAAAAAAAGAGGAATGAGGAAAATATGAACAGGGAGAAACAGGTTGAACAAAGAAAAACTGCATACAAATGTGTATTATTCCAAACTGCTATACTGTGTAACGGAATAGTTGTAGAAGAAGAAGACGGTGCCGACGACGAGTGAAGGGGAAATTAAATAAGTCAATCTGTATCATTATGATTTCAAGTCATATCACGAAGAATAAAGTGCTTTATACCAGTTCAATGAACAGTTAGCATTATGCAAATGTTTAACTGTTGCAAAACTTTTTCATCTATTCACACACAAATAGTTTAATTGTTTTCCATCTTTTAACTCATTAGAAGAAATAGACATTGACATACTTGCATTACAACGAGAACAAATCCTATAAAATTTCCACAGGATTGTAATGTGCACTTAATCAATGATGATCTTCAATGTTACATCCAATGATTATGAACGAGTTAGTTTTACACCATTAAAAAGGGAATATTGGCGTTATGATGTATAAAAACTGACTTAAGATGAACAAAAGACTGAAATAAACACCTATAATAACTATCCTAATAAGTTATGTAAAATAGTGGTGTTTGAATAGGAAATAATCATAGATTGCCTTTTGTTGAACAAATGACTGAAATGTGATTTTATTCATCACTGTTTGTTAACTTCCACGATATTGTACCAACAGCATTTCAACAGTTGTCTTTATTTCAGGAGAGATTACTGCATTTGTTGAAATAGTTTTTGATGCATTGCCATATGCTGATATCAACTAATGAGTGAATCGAAGGTGAAAATAGTGTTTTATTGTCTTTAGAGATTGCTGTTTAACACATTAGATAGGAAAAATGTAAAACTACGATGATTTCATTTTGATGGGATAATTCTTATGCGTGTCTAGGAAGCTTTTCGAAAACTGTCATCAGATAATATCAATTTTTGTAGCTATATTAAGATTTCTATACTATTCATTATTGCTGTCATATATTTTTCGCTGAGTTTGGAATCTGTTGTAATTTACTGTATTCCATGATCCTGTAAGTCGTGTGTGTGGATAGCCGTGATTATAAGAATTATTGTATAAAGCGTTACTATTGCTGGTACTTTCTTTTTCGCGGAAATACGTCACTAATGCATCGGCGGAGTGAAGTTCAGTCAGCAAACATTATCACTGAAGCGTGGTTAGCAAGTCATAGCAGTTGACATTTCTGAAAAATAACTGAAGGATTACCTTAGAAAAGCTGAACTTGGATTTTCTATCACCTATATCCTTTATTATAAGCAAAGCTGAGACAGTATTTAGGAGGTTCAATTAGAACTGACCAACAATACAAAGTTGAATCTTACAACAATTATATGCCTGAGATACATGGGTAGACTAGTCACCCTAGAACCTCGCACAAGAAATGTGTCAGCTGAAATCGCCATCGTTAACAGCACCATACGAAGTAGACAAAAAGATTGACATTAAGGTTGACGAGAGTTTAGAGTCGACAGAAAAATATTTGAAATGTATTCAGTCAAGACTTCAGAGATGACAGAAAGTTGTGACCCAATTTTTGCGGTATCATCAGGTCTCAAATCATCGATTCCTCTTTTCCTCAAAAGGCTGGTTGTCATTAAACTCAGACGACAACTCCCTTATAAGCCCTCACACAGCTGTGCGACTTCCATTAGGAAGCTTTGGTTTGCGATACGTACTTGTTCGATGCTCCCTTCACAACTAGAGTGCCAAAAAACTACTCGGCTGACGGAGGTGAAAGCCTCCTTAACGCTAAGAAATTCCGCGTGTCAGGAACCAGTAAGTGGGGGTGTGTGAGTCACAAAAACAAACAGAAGACGGGGATATAATCGACGCACCCTCGATGTGTGATGCTAGGGGAAGTTGGATTAGGTTGGAAGCGGATTCAGGGGGGAGGGGCAGACCAAGACCTGGCACCAGTCGGTGAAGTTCATAACTGTTAGTCCGAGCCGTGTGAGGAGATGTTGACCTCTTTGTTAGGGTCCTTGAGATGAAAGCAATCAATGGTTGAGGACTCATGGCGACACGGCTAAAAACCGGCCACAATGGTGCAGATGTATTCACCCTCTGACATCTAAAGCTTGAATATTCGCACTAACCTTTATCTTAAAATTGTATATTCTCTCACACTACTTTATCTACTTTGATATCACCTCTTTTCTACCCACCTGTTCTTCATGTACAACTGTGAAGTGTGATAACATGAGACGATACACTTCTATGCGAGGTTCTACTTTGATTCTGTCAGTTAGTCATTCTCGGACAGGTTTGAAATCTGTTTGGTTCCCTTGAAGTTTGTTGATATCAAGCTCCAATTAGGCAAGCAGATATGTAACGGTAAGCAAAACTCTCTACTCGAACTCACGCAACCACGTAAGGATTCATGGAGAGTTGTCACGTGAATTAACGACAACTAGTGGTGTTCGCCAGGGATGCCCACTATCATTATTCTTTGTTAACTCAGTTAAAGACGTAATAATCGACATGATATTAGGTAAGTCTGAGCTCGTAGAGGTTGATCTACTACCTCGAGGTCAGCTAGTTGAATTGGAGTATGCAGACGATATTGTCTTACTAGATGGAGACGATGACGAAATGCAGCGTCTTCTGAACACCTTGAGCAGAAATTTGAGCATGTTTGATATGCATTTTGCTCGCACCTGTCAAATGTAAGGTGATGCTATAGGACTCGTCTGTAACCCCTTCCAGTTTAGTAATAGAAAGCGTGAAGTGGTGGAATGTGTCGATCACTTCACTTAATTAGCAACTCACACCAGTCTGCACGGGTTGGTCGCATAGTTTGAGGTTTCAGGCCACTTTTTTCTTAACTTCAAGGAGAGTGTGAACCGCTACTCAGTAATGCTACATCCCATTTTGATAGATTGACTGGATCTTATAATAACTAGATATTTTGTGTTTCATACAAGTCCCAGTTTGTGTAGATTCCGTAATTATGAATGAAATTTAAAATCTACTACGTGAAGATTTTTTGTACATCAATTATATACAGACTTTAAAACTTTTTCTCAATCAAGAATTAGAATTGTCGAGGATATCCTTGGAAGCCAGATGAATATAACAGTGAAGTGGAGTAACATAACAGTTATATATATATATATATATATATATATATATATATATATATATATATATATTGCGATTGTGTATCAGACTAATCTAAACTACTCATAACATGGAGAAAAAGGGATCACAGTTACCTGGGATTTTTAATTAGTAGCCTTTGAATAAAATCTTTAGCCAAATCGCTAACATTTTCAATCTCCTCCCTTGAATAATCCACAATACAATCAAGAATATTTTGAAATGTCTCAAGTTGTGTATCACCAGCGAACGGTGAAATTCCAGTCAATCTGCTCAACAGAAAACAAACAAATGCATTGATAGAGATTGTATATTGTAATATGGAGTTGGTTATTATATGGAAGACAAGATTTCACACGATTCAAAATATACTCTAACAATGAAAGTTGAGTTTTTAGGTTAGTGATATATATATATGAGAGAGAGAGAGAGAGATGTTTTCTGACAGTTACATTGTTTCCTCTTGACAACATATCTCTACTAACTTTCAACTGTTTATATATCACATAACATATGGTTAAATCGAGCATTCTTATTTAGACTATAACGATGGAAAGTAACTGAGTATGCAACTTTTTGGAGAAAATATCAAATAAAGCAATAGGGTGATATAAATATGAAAGTTAATCATTTTATACTGTCATAAAAGAAAAACTTGTTTTCACAAATAAAATGAATTTTTCATTTCTGCTACTCTAGTACAACTCTTAAAGTTTCAAAATTTGAAGTATGTTGGTGGTGATAATGACAATCTAACAAAATTGAATGCTATGATCTAGGCTTGATGTATAAGGATAGAGGATGATACGCAGTCAAATTAAATTCGATAAAGTTAGCAGTAATAGGTGAAAGTGTAGACCAGTGAGATGCAGCTTCACTTTCTGAAGCATGTTTTTCCATTCTTCATATTTTATGATTGATTCCATATTTTAGGCGTAACCAATATATCTGGTATCCATAAAAAATTCTGTTTAGTACTGAACTATATTTCTTTTGATGTTCAAGTCCAAGAAATGTATTCCGACTGAAGTTTCATGTTCATATGTGAATGAACTGAATTGAAAGATCCGAGTAGGTTCCTTGCATGGACTTCACTCTCACATATGATGAAACTAACATCTACGTACTTCAAATGCAACAGACAAAATGGTATTTGAGATATGAAGATAACACTTTCATCATATATGCGAGTGAAATCTGAGTAATGAACCTACTCAGATCTTTCAAATCAGTTCATTCAAATGTGAGCATGAAACGTTAGATGGAACAAATTTCTTGGATTAGAGTATTAAAAGAAATGTAGAACAAAGACAACAGAGAAGTAATAGATACTCTATGTGGTTAAAGTCTGGTGTACAGCATCTAAATATAAATTGATGGTTGTGAACCGAACTGATCAATCTCTATATATGAATTATGGTCAAGATTTGACCAAATAGTATAGCACATATTGTGTGCTGAGTAAAAGATTAACAATAGATATAGTTTATATTTGTGCAAGTCACAACGTGCTTGAAGTAAAATAACTCCAACGTTTTACACGAAAATCTGTTACGAGCTTTTATAGGCAAATAATCAAAATTGATTATCATTTAACTATCTGATATACGTAGTTTGGCTGACTGGTATTTATACTGGGCAACGATTGAAGGTGAGATGAAAATCTGGACGGCGGCCGGATTCGAACCAGCGACCATCGGGTGGTCGCGGTCGAGATTTTCATCTCACCTTCAATCATCACCCAATATAAATAATGAAAAATCAAAATATCAAAAATGTATAGATGAATTCAAAGATGTGTACCTAAACCTCCTTCGTATAGTCATTGTTGTGGTGTAAAATTGTATGTCTCGTGCTGTACGGTATGTGGGTTGTTACTCATATTATTCATCACTGTAATTATGAACAAAAAAGGTCACAAGTAACATGGTAGTCAGTAATCTTATAAGTGCAATAGGGCACATGAAGCGGATGTTTCATTTCGGCTAGTATATAGAGATGAATAGCAACAACAAATTTTTATTGATTTTTCAAAACAGTGAGAATGAATGCTAGTCATAACAGTGACAATAATAATAATAATAATGAATCAAATCAATCCAGATTGTGTTCTTGTTGATGCAGAGATAATGAAGACGAGGTTGGTACTGAAGGTAAATCCTGGAGTCACTTTTTCTGCTTACTAATTAAGAATTGTCAAGAGGCAACTAACTCTAATCCACCTCGTCTTTTTAAGCTATCTGGATTTGCTCATGTATATAGGGCTTCAACTGTCAATCTTCCTTCGTCGGACCCAAAACCTTTTTGTAGAACCTTAATTCGATCAAAATCAATTTCGTGACCTATTTTAATGGAGTGCAAGGCAATTACCGGTTCGCTTTCTAGCCTCCAAACCTCTGTTGAGGCTTCCGGAATCAGCTGTAGACAGTCTATGCTCCCTTACACTTACTTGCTGACTATCTTTCCCTCTCCCACGTATACTGCATAACAATAAGCGCATTTGATTTCAAAAACGCAGTTTCGTTGATTTTATTTCGAGCATACGTCTTTAACTTTCAGTAAGTTAGAGCGTAGGATATTCATTTCACAAAAATATACCCGTGTGTCATATTTATTTATTTCTTCCTAGGTGTTTCATCATCATTATTATCAACATAGGACTAGGCATTACTGAGTAACGGTCCGAGTTGCCACACCTCATATCAGCACATCAAGTAAAAAGGTAGTGAGGCGAAGGATGAAGATAAGTGAATGCAGTCAAAAGAAATATAAAGTACGAGAAGAAAGGAAAGAGGAGTGACAAGATGGTGAGACTCGGTATGGTGTTGTTAAGATGAGGATAATGTGTGTATACATCTGCGAAACTGACATCGGTTCTGAGCCATATCACCTAGGTTCTCCAACCATTGGTTCCTCTTGTCCCGCGGACCCCAACCACCTAGGTGTTTATGACAATATGAAAAGGACTGGACAGTGGGATTCAGTACATATCTTTGAATTCATTTATAAATCTTTGATTTTTGATTGAAGCTTGGAGCAGACCAGATTTTGGTGAAAAACCTTGCGATTATTTCATTTCAAATAGAAGCTATATCTAATGATCCGTTTCTGTTGTCATATGAGCTTATTTAACGGATGGGTCTATGATAGTTCAAGTTTTATCTCGGAGTAATTAACTTTGTAATGGCTAGCAGTGGAATCCTGCTTTTCAAGAAACAGATGCTAAGTCCGAGTCCCAGTTGAAATGCAATCACTCAATGGGATATATGTACTAAGAGTCATAACTAGGATGAAAGGCAGGTCATAGATTCCACTGCTAGCCACCATAGATAGAATTACGCTCAAACATTTATTTCTTCTTAACTAGGTAGTTAAGTTTAAGTTGAGAAAAAATATACAACTTCTAAAGTATTTATTTGTCTTCAGTTTTTTATCTAAACATATAGTGAAGCAAATTTTTTACTATTGAATATCCAGACACCATAAAAGTGTAGGTGTCAAAATCATATGCGAATTCCAGTGTCTGGTTATAAACATACACACTACATCTCAAAACTGTATTGAAATAATACCTTTCAAACAAATACTGTCTGCTAATTGTATTTTTTTGGGCGAATTTAAATGATAAATTTAATTATATGTTGACTAACTGGTGAAGAAGTAACCCATACAAGTGTAAACCATTCTTAGTAGTCAGTTTTCATATTAGTTCAGTAGGAGAAATAAGTTCAAATTCAGTGAAAGCAGTTAACATAGACGTGTGACTTTACAGTACTGTATAATGGCCCAACTCGTATGTCTTCATCAAGGCAGAAGGCATCAACCTTTTCTGTCTCAAACTCTATACCTGACTTCTACGTTACTCACTTAGTGGTTATACGATACATGGCTACGATAGCAACGGCGGTGGGACACTTGAAGTCTACTCATGTCCTCTACCTTGAGCGTGGTCGTAGTTCACAGTCATATAGTAGTAGAAGAGAGGGGATTGCAGCTCACTACACTCTGCTCTCAATATGTTGACAAATAATATGGTGGGGTCATAAATGGCATAAGCTAATGACGGCCAAGTGAGCGTTTTGTATTCACGTGGATATTTCGTTGGTCACTGACCTACCATAATTGATCCAACTTCCCAAGCTAGTGAAGTGGACAACGTGCTCAATAAAATAAATCAAATCACAGGAAAGATCTTCATAATCGACAAGTTAGTGTCTTTAGGATGAAGGGAGAATAATGTACTGAGTAAAACAAATAAACTTACGTTAAAGAAATCCTGCTGTGAATTATAAGTCACTGTAGCAGTATACACGTACTTGATCTTGTGGGAAATGAGTATTATTTTATTCCCTATTCAGAATAGTCGGATAATAAATCTAAAGTTTTGTAACTATACTGCACTATACATTTATTTGGTAAATAAATATTTACGGTTAGAAGGTTTATGCGTTACTTTTGACAAATTACATCGTAACTGTTATGTTAATGATAAGTTCAATGCACAATTTCGTATCACTGCCAAGCCCCCAACCTTAAGAGGATTCCAAAAAAGTAAAAATTTCATTCATTCATTTCAGTCACTTTTACACACAACTAGTTTCACTAACTTCAGACTGAGTAGCAGTCGATATATCTGGCTATATTTTTCAGTTTCACTCTTTTAATGTTATCTACTTGTGAAAGTAAGGAGAAAGCGATCACTCATACGCTTGCTAAACAAGGTTTTACTGATGCTTAATACATGTGACCGTCAGGATTTTAACCATCTAATTCATACTCATAATTGTAGAGTAAAACTAGTGCAGTTGGTGAAACAGTCAAGTGGTAATTGTTCAGTGTTCCCCAAGCTTTGAGGTTTGTTCTTGAATGTTTCATTAAAAAGCAAATATTGGTGAATTCACCTAGCCTGGTGATGAGAAGTCTATGGAGAAACCTCGAAGCTCGGAGAACACTAAACAATTTTTATCTACATCTTGAGCTACAAAACTTCTCCATAGCTAAGTAAATATCATCATCTATATGTTAGTAACGATCAACTGTTTACTTTTAGTCAATTGAAAAAAGAATACTGTACTGACTACAAAAGGGAATTCATGTGATACTTGAAATTAAGATACACTGAGGATTTGGAGAGGGAGAAAAAAGGGAAATCTAATAAAGTGAAATCACACTGTAATGCTTAGTTGGACATATGAGTGAAAATAGAGCAAAAGTATATTATTCAAGCATTACTAACATCAAAACACAGTATGAAGAAAGTAGAGATGGA